GTATCGACATTTATGCAAGGCATGTCGATCTGATTCACGAGACATTGCTGGTTCGATCATACTCCTTCAAGTATGGGCTTGGGATCGGTTCCCAAGCATGGCTCCAGCTCGTCGCCACATCGCGGAACATGAGCTAGTGAGACGACCATTAGCTGCACGGTATGCTTATCTAACTATTTCATTGTGACATAATATTAATTTTTTTAATATATACACAACTTTACAAATTTAGAATATTGTTGTAGGTGGAGAGATCAATTTTGTGTCACAAAATTATCGACACATGTATTGGTTCAGTATAGATACATGTTGGATCTTCTGACACCCGAATCAGTATGTGTTTAAATATTTAAAATTATATATATAACTTGGCTGACTTTTGACGTGATATTTTTGTCTGAATATTTCAGATGATTTGGGAACCATATAATAAGGAATTTGCATTCCTACCAGATTACTGCGGCAACGGACATGAAATATGGTGCATAGTAAGTCCACTCATTTGTTTTTCATGTTGTTGAGTGGCATCATCCAGATAGAGTTGCTAGGCAGTTCGGGATGAAACAATCAATTCCAGATGTTCCTAGTTGAGACCTGAAGATACATGATATAGACCTTCGACACCAGGGATGACAGGAGCATGTAACACCTTTTGTGGCTAGGTGGCGATGCGTAGAGATTATATTGCTATTAGTCATCCGGTGGACGATGATGGTGATTGCGATCCCGGATACATGAGTTAGTATTTATCAATTACTAGATGTTATATCACTCAAGAAGGAGCAGCGTTTTGTGCTACTGTATGTTTTTCAATGTTTTTCAATTTTGCTTTACAAATTATTTGAATTTTATATATTTATCTTAATTCATTTTCTATGCAGGCGGCATGTTTTGAACAAATTAGTATCCTCTCATCGTCAGAAGATATTAATAGCTTGTGTACCACTGGTGGGAGATATCTTCAAAGGCTTCACCAGTTGTATAGAGTACCTACACCTACTCACGGCCTCAGGCATAGAGGACATCGTCAAATAGAGCAGGATGCTCCAAACGAGCCTGACATTCCTGAACCTGAAGTTATGTATCATAATCTCAATGATGCTCCACCTTTCACGCAGACAGGTTCACACACCAGTATAATATAATTATGAAGGTCATGGACGTGAACGTGGAGAGTATGGACAATACATCAACCCTAACGAGGATCAACAGACACCAGCGACACCGAGAGCTCGTCGTCAACAGCCACATCGTCATCGACGACCTCCCTCATGTGGCACACATTAGATAGATTCATAGAGTATAACGCTTAATTTTGGTTATGCAGCTGTACCTTTTAGATATTAATTAATATTTTATTCATGTCTTGAATATTATTTTATAATCTAGTATTGATAAAATTAAGTATAATTCTCTAATATTGATAAATTAAGAATATTATTTTCTAATTTAAGTATGCTATTAACAAAATTAAATCTTTAAATATTAAATATATTAAAATCAAATTATAATATAAATATAGCAAATAACTTAAAGAAGAAAAAACAAAAAACGAAGGGACGACATGTTGAGTACGGGCCACGCTGTTTAAAAACGGACTTGGTCGTCTCTAGCGTTATTTTAAAAAAAAATTTACGTGGTGCTTACAAAGCGCCACATTAGCTGGTCGTCTCTCGAAGAGACAACCAGTTGTTGCCACTTCACAGGTCTCTTCGACCTGCTATTTCCAAAGCATTATTCTGGTAAATAGTTTGAGAAGTAGAATATTTTTGTAAATACTTTAACGTTTAGCATTATTAAAAAAAAAATTCCCCAATATAGCTGTGATATTTTTCTTCTTAAAAAAATATAATGTGATAATAGGATAAATAAATTTCACCCAAGATGATCGCCTTTTTGGAAAACTATTAAAGTTGAAAATCAAATCTATATTAAGTTAATATGAATTAATTTGTTCTACAAAATAACATATAAAAAATAAAAATATTAAATTCATTCAAATAAATCTATTATATTAAATTAATTTATAAATTACATAAATATTTCGTAAGGGCATTTTTGGAACATTCTACAAATTTAACACATCCCCAACAATAAATCCCGGAAAACAAACGTGAGTATCCAAATATTCTCGGATATCTTTATAAATTTTCCTACTAAAGGTTATCTAAAGATGCTGAACATCTAAAATTCAAGGCATCTATAGATGCTAGACATTTATAGATGTCAGACATCTACATTTTCGAAAAACAAACGACCCCTTAGAGCTCTAAAAAAAAAATATAAACATCGTCTACATTGGAGATGAAGCGTATTCCTTCAATGTGTCAAAAAAAAAAGTTAATTTTGACGTGGAAAGTGGGCGAATAAGAAACAAGATTACTTTCAAATTGTTGTTATGTTTCCCACTAATGAAGTTTGAAGATTGTTATAAGACAAATGATACCAACTATTGCTAGGTATTGATGAGTTTCACCAGAAAAGATACGTTGACTCCCTATTTGGTGGGTGCATGTAACACCATGTAAGAGACTATTCAACACCTTTAAAAGGTGCAAATTAGCATAGCAACCACCAATGCCCCAAATAATAATAATAAATAATCCTTGATATTAGGCTATTTAGAGTTTAGACTTTCATTTTAGTTCTATTTTGAATTTTTAAATTTTCAAACATGTTAAACCTTCAACTTTACATAAAAAAAAAATTATTTTAATTTGTGATGTTTAATTCTTTTTGGAATAGATTTAAGATGTAAAATAGGTACGTCTTTTCTTCATTTATTCAATGAATAAATATCTGTGTGGACAAATATTTTTTAAAATTACATATGTCCAATTTTGTCCAACTTTTTATTTGTAAAAACTTTGAAAGTTAAAAAGTTTATTATCTAGAGAACTCCATTTTAAGCATTCCACTGTATTCTTTTCGAATAACTAGAAAAGTAGAACTTTTGAAAAATTGAGAAAAAAAAATATTAAAATAAACTTAAATCTTTTTCCCTTTTTTTTAATAAATAATAAGGTTAAATTACACTAATCCTATACTTTCAGATTTTGCTTATCTTAATCTTTATACTTTTAAAACATTCATTTTCGTGATTGTATTTTTAACTTTCATCTATTCTAGTCTCTATATTTTTAAAGCGTTTTGTTTTGATTCTTGTATTTTTAAAAAGTAATCATATTGGTCCATTTTTTTTTTATATCACAATTTCAATATGATACTGCACTCAATAAATTTCTTGAAATGTAGTCATTATTTTTTATTAAAAGGTTTCATCATGTATAAAATTTGGGTTAAAGGTTTTTAAATATGGACAAAAATGGACACTTTTTAGACCAAAACAACATTTTGAAATTGTACAGATTAAAATAAATAAAAGTTGAAAGTAGGATTTGGATTCAAATCGTTATGTGAGAAGGTCAGAATATACAGTTACCCACACAATATTCTACACACTAGTGATAGGTTACTTTGAGCTTAGCAATAGAGATAAAGGTTGTGCAACATATTTCATACACAAGGTCTCTCATCTTATTTATATAACAGATTCATCTCATTTTGAATCGTTTCTCCTTGACTTCCAATACATGATAATGTCGTGCAGATTAGGATCGACTTGTAGATGGTCGAACCACCTTGGCTCGACCCAATCGATTCGGCTTGAGTGGTTCGACTCGACCATACACGAGTCAGCCCTAACGTGACATTATCATATCAAATTACAAGTTCAACTCTAGAAATTAAAAAGAAACGAGTTGAAATGCTATTGTGACTCCCTCCATAAATAGGAAAGAGAGAGCGGCTTGATGTTTATTAGAGCTTCTCCCGTCACGATTCAAATCTAATTCTTGTTTCAAGAATAAAAGCTAAAATAGAAAGTTTTAAAGCATAGAGAGGAAAATAAATTCTAATAAATTCAGAGGATTATTTGGTTCCGATTGGACAAATCCTGCTGCATCAACGAATAATCCACACGTGTCTTTTTTATTTTGTCATCATCCTGAACACCACTCACCACTCACCACCTTATCCACAAGATTTTGAGTGACCAAGAATAAATATTATTTTCAATTATTTAATCACAGAGACAAAATTAATTTCAATTTTCCTTTAAACTTTTAAGATTTTTCTGGTAAACGTCCTTTGAACTTTCTATCTTTAAATATGTTTTTAAATAATAAGTTAATTTTTTTTAACAAATAGATAATTAGTTTCAAGGATGTTTATATCCATTAATCTTTAAATATATTTTTAAGTAATAAATTACATTTTTTAACAAATAGATAATCTAAAACGTGTATTAACATATTGACATGAGCATGTATTATAACTATAAAGATTTGTTGAAGCAAGCATTGACTATTAGATGGAGGTAAAATGATACAATGATAACAAGAAATGATTACTTTTTAAAATGTTTATAGACTAGAATAGATATCTCAAGTGATCATGGACTATAATATATAGTTTATAAAATTTTAGTCTAAATTACAAAAAAAAAAAAAAAACTTGAACTTTACTTTGTTTCAAATATAATATCTCTCTTCCTTTAAAAAGTTTTAATACTATTCCTTTGTTTCAAAAATATAATTTGAGTAATATCTGTTAATATTTTAAATGAAAAATTGACATGGCATAATCTGAAATGAGTGTCAATTCAAAAAAGAGAGGAGATGTAAAAGGAGATCAGGACCAAATTAAATAGACAATGGAGAAAAAAACTCTATGGAGAGAGAAGAATTTTAAGACAAATGAATCATTAATTACCACATCTATACAACATATTAATAAGCTTGAAACGTTATGAAAATTCAGAGTAATATTGAAACTTTTGATAAATTGTGGATATTTTTTAATTCAAACGATATTCTTTTTAAGTAAAAGGCAACATTTATGAATCTAAAATTTGAAAATAGAGGTCAATTATAATCCTGAGTATTGTTGATTAGGACTTGTGAATTTAAATTTCCAGTCGGATTGAAAAAACTTGAAAATAGAGCCAATAAAGAAAAAAGAAAAAGAAAAAAGGAAAAAAAATCAATAGCTGTTGGAGGTTGAAACTCGAACCACAAGTAAACTCATGGCCTGGAAACACAATGGGACGGAGAGATGAGTACCTGCGTTTCCTCTCCTTATTCTCTCGCCGCTGCCTCTGCGACGGCGGCCACCGCCATATTCCGCCGCCGCGGCGCCGCAATTTCTTTCTCCGTTCCTCCTCCTCACTGCCGCCATGCTTTTACGCTCAGAGGTCTGCAATCTTATTCTCCATGTTTTTCTCCTCGATCGCGATTTTTTGGATGTATCTGATAGCGCTAGGGCTTCGTTTTTGCAGCGGCTGCGAACGACTCGAACAGCACCGATCAATTGACGGCGGAATCCACCGTCGAACGATCGGAGGCCGATAAGATCGTCGACGGCATGGATTTCGGCGAGCTTTGCAACGAATTCGAGTGCATCAGTAGTCCCTTGGTTGAATCCACAGCCAGACAACTTGCGAGAGATATTCTTCAACTTCGCCAAGGCGATCGCTCCCTCGGAAATTTTGCTGTATTTGTCAAGTACAAGGTCTCGATTCCTCTGTATTTTTAAAATTTCAATTGATGATTTGATTTAGGTCTTTGTTGTTGATGACTGTCGAAATGTTGCGATTTCTGAAATTGTGATTTGAAAATCGAAATCGATGGAGCAAAAAAGTGATTGAAAATTGAATGGTGTGAGTGCAGGATCCGGTTAGGAAATTCACTGGTCGAGAGAAGTACAAAAGGCAAATTTGGGTAAAGAGTGCGCTGGAGAATCCAACTACGGTAATCTTCACTTCTGAATCCATATCTCCATTTTTCTTTCAGAAACTAGCGATAATTAATGATGGAGCCAGGAAGATACTGTGAAAATATTGAGGGATTTTGGATTTGAGGGGGAAATTCATTAAGATTTAGAACTCGTGGTCTGTTTGGTAGCTTCGAGTTTATTACGTGTTGGTTAACCGTCCTGTTTTCACAACACATTTCTTTTTAATTCGAGATAGTTGAAAAACTTAGCTCATGCGTGGAATAAATTTCCACTTATTTTCGACCCTCATGAGTTTAAATTTTCGCGATATATAAAAAAGAAAAAAACTATTTAGAGTAGGAATGACTTATGATGGGAGGGTTTCATTGAATTTTAAAGTAACTTATTTTGTATTATTAATTTTTCTTTCACTTGCGAATCTCTAAATTTAATTATATTAATTTTAAATTATTCAATCCAAACAGAATAAAGAATTTAAAATAATTTTTTGAATTTCAAAAAATAGAATTTGAAGTTATTTCTTGGGAATGGAGAGTAAGTTTTTGTTTTGTAAGGTAAATTGGAGAGAGAGAGAGGGAAAACTACTCCATTATTAGTGGTCTATTTCTTCAAACGGAGAAGTTGCTTCTAGATAATTCCTTTGTTTTGACCTTTAGTTTTATTTATTATTTTTTATATATATATTTGTTTTACTTTTTAAAGACATTTTTTCAATTTAAAAACAATATAATTCTATACTATTTTTTAAGGATTTTTGGATAACTATTATTTTTTTTTCAAATTTACTATATCAAATGATTCAATTAATATCTATTTGACATATTTATTTTTTAAAAGATATAACATTTGTATGTTTTTAGATTTTAAATTTAAAACTTTAAAATACATCATTATATTGAAAAGATAAAAACTTTGATAAATATATATTTCATAATATAAACTAATTTAATTTTTTTTAAAATTAAATATGTAAAATATAATATATTATAAGTTATATAATATTGTAAATTAATAATTATAAAAAATATATAACATTTACATTAATAAATTAATTAATAATATTTTAGATTGAGCTAAATATTTAGACACTAGTTTACAAATATATTACTAAACACTTTGAGTAACTTTTTAAATTGATGTCAATTTCTAAATCTGCTACTAAAAACATATTCATCCATTCCTAAATCTGCTATCAAACACATATTCGAAAATACTAAAAATATGAAAAGGAAAAAAGAAAAAAAAACACCCTTTCTTATTTACCATTTCTTTTGTTTTATAAACTGCTCAATAGGTTTTATTTTTTGTTTTAAAAAGAGAAATAAAAACATATTTGATCAATTTTTTATTTTTTTTTAGTTTTATTTGGTTTAATAAGTATCCTTTTAATCTAATATACAATAATGGCAAAATTACAATTTTTATTGTCTAAACCAATCATGTAGCTTTTTTTTATGAAATCAAATATAGATTAAACTTTATTATTATATTCATATTTATAAAATAATATAGAGAGGTTTAGGGAGAAAGGTTAGAGAATAAAATTATTCCTAAGAATTAGAAAAAGAGATATTAGAGCAAACATGAACATAGTTCAATAAAGACACAAAACAAAAGAGGAACGTGGTTAGATATGCTAGGAAGTGAAATTGTTAAAGAGATGTTAGAGACATTTGAGAGAGACTGCTCATGACCGAGTTTGTGCATTCATGAGTAATGACAAAGATATTCAAACTCCCAAATAGAATTCTAACCCAAATCTCAATACTCGGAACACGCAATAATTAATCCGTAGATGTTTGGTTCTAAACAACAGAGTGTGCAAGAAATGGTGATGGTATCAACAGGAATACTGAACATCAAGTGGACAATCAAAGGGAAGCCTAAATCCTTGGTTGCAGCCATAGGAGGAGATCTGATCATCAAAGTTGATTCACAGTTCACTCTAAACCAGATCAGTGGCCAAGTCATCGAACACGAAGAGCGTTGGGACGTGTCGGGTTCTTCCGCTGTTTCACAAGCCTTTTTCTGGGCGTCGCGCTATCTCTTTGCCTCCGCCGAGGCAGGAAAAGACTTGGCCGATTCTGTCAGCAGCCTCACAGGCCGAATCTCTACTGAGAAACAGAACTTGGAGATGTTCCCTGACCCTTCTGGTGATCCTACCAAGGTCAGTGCTCTTAATGCTTCTTTTGATTTATCTTCATCAGCCAAATTACTCTTCCCATTTGCACCAATATTATTCTACTGGTCATGGAATAAACTTCCTTATTAATCATTTTTGTGGTCTTTTAGTAGTTTTTCGAAATGTAAGTGTTTGATGAGTATTTTTATTTTTTGTTTCTCATTTTGACGGGTCTTTAAATTGGTCACGGTTTCTTAACATATGGTTGGTAACCAGCTTATTTTCTCATCTTTATGGGTCTTTTCGTAATGTTTAATATTTCTGGTTTCTAATTTTTTAAAAAGGTGTGTTAAAGTAGTAGTTTCGTACTTTTTGTTTTTCATTTTTACAGACGTTCATAAATCTTTTTTTAGATTTCTTATCTTTCAAAAAAAAAATTGAAATGAAAAATAGAAGACTATTTTCGAAATAGATTTCGAAAAAACCACTAAATTCTTTTGTCGTGTACCTCATAGGTAGAGCAACTTCCGAATTTAGTTCTTATATTAAGCTATGCTTGGGAGCATGTTAGAAGCAGTTTACACTTAAAAAAGTGTCAGAAAGCAGTGATTTCTGTTCAAGTGCTTACTAAAAGGTGCTTCAAAAACTTACTTATTATAAGAAAATAAAATTTTAATTACTTTTGGTCAAAGCACTCTCAAGCACATCTTTAATTTATAAGGGTCATCGAATTTGAATGTATTTGTATGTAGTTCTTTCAAGGTGAGGACAACTTCCAAAGAGACGCATACCAATTTGCACTATTGCTGGCAATCCTCTATTTCGTTGTACAATTTTTGAGTGCCACACTGTAAATGCAACAAAACTAAGGTACGCCCTGTATTATATTCACTACCCAAAACGTTGTCGTTTAGAATTAACATATATATCTTAAAACAGAAATTAATATTTCAGTCAAAATCAAATTATTCATTATTGTTATTTTATATATGTAATTTATGGATTTTGCATTGCCTTTTATTTTTGGGCGAATATAATGGTTAATTATACCCTCTCCTCCCTCTTACAAAACAAAAATATATATATCAGTATAAGCAATTACACCTTCAAACTTAGAAAACAACTTGAATTAGTTGAGCTAATCCTCAAATTTTAGGAATAGTTGCACCATTAAATAAAAATATTTTAATTCAAGAAATTTGGTAATATAATATTAATTCTAAAAAAATATCTTAAAGTTGATGACTAAAATATATTAACTATGAGAAAACCATCTTAATGTACTAGAGAAAAGAAAATCTAGGAAAAGATTGTTGATTATTGGAGAATGTAAATTATATTGCATGTGTTATCCTTTGGAAGTAAAATTACTTGCTAGAAAACTTGTTAATTTACTACCTTCTACTACATGTCTACTGGATCATTGCTCAATCAACTAACATCTTTTTAATAATAGACCTTAGTTAACGGTGTGGCAACGTAAACTACCCATAATCTAAATTTGGAGCTCAAGAAAATAAATTTATAATTCAAACTAAAAAACTTTGACGAAAAAAAAGACAAATACATGTTTTGTCCTTTAAGTTTGAGTTTAATGTCTATTTGGTTCTTGAAATTTTAAAAGATACACCTTTAATCTCATATGTTTGAAAAATAATTCTAAATGGTCCCTAAAATTATTTGACCATTAATCGACTAATGGAAATAATGACTTGACAGTTACTTATTATGCTCGATAAATTATATTAATATTAATTATTTTTGGTGACTAAGTCACCCTAAAATCTCCTCCCTCTCTTCTTTCTTCTCCAATGAACTTTGTCTGTGTTGTCGATAAAGAATAGATTTGGAATGAAGGGGCGGAGAAGAAGAAAGAAGAGGGAGGGAGGAGATTTCAAGACAACATCCGCGTCAGCGACGGATCATTAGAGGAAGAAAAGGGAGGGGAGAAAACAAGTCAACCCGTATGACTTAATCATCAAAAATAATATATATTAATATAATTTACCACTTCGGCAAGCTCAATCAACAAATAATTGTTGTGCAATTCTTTCCCTTAGTCAATTAGCACTCAAATGATTTCATGGACCATTTAAAACCATTTCTCAAATCTAGAGATTAAAAGTGTTAAGTGTATGTGTACCGTTAAAAACTCCACATATCGAATAAACACTAAGTTCAAATCTTAGAGACAAAAATTTAATTCGTCAAAAATACATATATACATGAATACACTCGAGATAAAGGGTCAAATATTACCATTATAGCAAATTACAATCATCCCATTGTTGGCATTTACAAATATACATATATACTATACCCACACGGACTTTGCTCTTCCAATATATATTCAAGGAAACAACAAAGGAGCTCTGAGTTCTCTTTTTTTTTTTTTTTTTTTTGTTTTGTTCTCAAGAAATTAGTTATTTTCATGGGGGAAAAAAATTAGATTATGGTACTACAAAAGTAAAAGAATGTGGGTGGGAGTTGGAAAGAATCTATTGGATAAAAAAGTAGGTGAAAGCTATCAACAATGGGAGTATTCTGGCAATCACTATATTGGATGCTGAAGACAGTTTGTGGTACCCGACTGTGTAAACTTCTTGTGACTTTGCATCTTTCAATTTAATTCCTGAAGTGCCTGTGGGTCACCAATCATAAAAACAAAATATATATTTATAATATTTATGACTTCTTTCCGTAAATATTTAGGCTAGTTTGATGAAGATTTCGTTTTATATTTTCTGTTTTTAAAAATAAGGAACACTCCCTTATTTTGTTATATAGGTTTTAGAAATATTTTTAAAATTTAGACCAAATTATATATATATATATATATATATATATATAAATGTTTCCAAAAACTTTTTTTTTTCTCTTTTTTTAAGAATTCAAATATGCCTTCACGAGAATGTGAAAAACTTATTAATGAATTTGTGCAAAAATAAGCTTGATTTTTTAAATAGAAAACTAAAAAAAACAAAATGATTATCAAATGATCCCTTCTTTTTTGTTTTTTGTTTTTTATTTTTTGAGAATGAAGTTTATAAATATTATTTCCACATATTTGTTAAGTTAAAATTTGAAAAATAAGATGGGTAAATTTTAAAAAATTTATTTTGACTAAAATCTAAAAATTTAAACAAGTAGTTTTTTTTTAATTTATTTTATTTTTGGAATTTGGCTAAGAAGTCGAACTTTTTTTTTAAAAAAAAAAAAGAAATGTGAAGTACATGGTAAAGAAATTATGAGGAACAAGCTTAATTTTAAAAAACGAAAAACTAAAAATGAAATGATTATCCGATGAGACTTAAGCTAATGAGTTAAATTAATTGAGAAAAAAATGACCTATTCGTGAAAATATAAGCAAACTTCTCAAATCAAATATTAGTGTTAATAACTCAATTCTTCGGTCAACTTAAACCTAGCTTAAGCTTAACAATTATGACATTAGTAATTTTCTCAGTAAGTTGAAGATTTGAGCCCTACTCATATATATTATAATGCTATGCACTAAAAAAACAATTCAATAGCTAGAACTTTTTGGGATAGAGAGTATTTGGACATTTACAGGTACAATTATTATTATATCTTAAAGTTTTATTTTTCTTTTAATGAGTACAAGAGAAGTATTCTTTCTATGATTTTCGATGATGAACTTAAATATATGAATTATATAGAAAAAATGGGGTGTTTGCATTTGGGTTCAATTCAAATGTACTAATAACAATTATTTTTCCCTGGTTAAATAATGAATCCAACTATGTAATATTTGAATTCAACCGGTTTGTTCGTCCATCTTAAAATTGTGAAGAACAGTGGCGAATAAAATATATTATTAAACTAAAGCAATGAAGGAAATAAGTCTAGGATTGAAAGATACTCACAGTTGTACTCAGTCCACCCAATGGTCTGATTTTCAAGATTATAGTAAACCAACTTGTTTTGAAGAACCATGTCTGCAATTAAAAAGCCATGAAAAGGGAGTTAAAAGCAAAGAATCTAATCTACAAAAACAGACAATATGAGGATCGAGGACGGAGCGAGGGAAAGAAGAGGGGTAATTGCCTTTTTAGTTCGTCTTAGATTAAAATAAATTATATTCAAAAGTTCATATTTTAAAACGGAAAGATTATATAGGTAAAAAGTTAGAAGGTAAGATTTTGTTCTCCATTCGAAGATAAAAGAAGATACCTCCCAAGAGAAAGACTTGCTTTCCATCTTTGGATTGAGCCCCACTGTTTTGCCACCCAACACACCACATATCCTCCTGCAAAGCCAGATTGGTAACGTTTTTGTTTTTAGTTTTCTATTTTAGCAAGATTCGGTTTATTTACAAACATTTTCTTTTGATGTTTGAGATTTTGCCCTCCATCTTGTTTTGATCTTTAGACTTCCTAGATGTTATGCTTTTTAGTCTCTTCAAGTATATTTTAGTTATTGTTGTTGATGTCTTATTGATCTATTAATAAAAATCTAGATGTGTTTTCAAACTTTAACATTCAACCCTATTGCTGTACGTGACTTCAAATACTTGTTCGTATATCCATCATATGACTGGGGGAGTGTTCATATCATAGTTCTACAAAATGATTTTCAAAAAGTTAGCGTCAAGGATCATAATCTATCTTTCGTGCATAGTTTTGATGAAAAACAAAGTATTTGAAAATTTTGGGACTAAAATAGGACAATCATAAAAGCTCTTGGAGATTTAAATCTGTCTTATAATCTCTATGAAGGTATTTTAAATCCTAAGACCAAATATCATTTGAGCTAATTGAGCTTAGCTCAAATGGTTAAGGCATCTAGTCCAAACCAAACGGTCGTGAGTTCAAATTCCACTCTCAGATGTTGTTGTGGTAAAATACTTGGAAGCACGGACACTCCATTTTAGGTGGAGTGTCCGTATCGGACGCGTATCGGACACTGATACGTCGGGACACGCTTCGGACACGTGTCCGACACGCCACGTGGCGTGTCCAATTTATTATTATTATTTTTTTAATTATGGACATGCCCCAGACACGTGAGGACACGCGGGGCAAGACACGGGACACGACCCAACATGCCTGGGCCCAAATTTTTTTGAATAAAAAAATTGAAAAAAGAAAAGAAAACTTTAAAAAAAAACCATAAATCGTTCTCTTCTTCGTTTTGTTTACTTTCCTCATGCCTTCCACACCAAGTCAAAAAAACCCTACCATCCTCTCGTAGTGGACGTAGTGGTGATAACATGAAAACATTGTAGAAGTTTGAGATGAGATGATGAAAGTTTTAGTTTTTTCTTGTATGAAAGAACGATTTTACTTCTTTTTAAATTTAAAGTGTAATGTAGGTTGGATAATGGATAATGGATTTTGTAATGCTAACTACATTTTTATTTGTTTTGTTCAATTTGTGTAGTTAATTTATGCAAAAATGTTACTATAATCAATTCATATGCATATATTATCTAAAAATAAAAAAATAAAGATAACGTGTCCCCAACGTGTTCGTGTCCTAAGTTTTTAGAAATTGGCGTATCGCCGTGTCCGTGTCGTGTCGTGTCCGTGTCCCGTGTCCCGTGCTTCTTAGGTAAAATAAAATAAAAAAAGGGTCAAATATTGAAAACTTTAAACAAATAGCATTTGAAGAAAATATAGGTATAATTAATTTTTGAAGCTTAAAAAAAGACTTGTTATCGAACTGGATCTTATAAATCTTAGAAAGTGAAATATGGTTATAAAAAGCACGAGAAAAATCAAAATATGAACAATCCCCATGAGGATAAACAGCAAAAATGGCTAAAAAAAAGCAGATTACTTACCCGAATCTGAAAGAGATACTCATGAGGGTAAACAGTCAAATTTAGGGAGTCCACAAATTCGAATGACACCGTTGGAAATCCATCGTCCACACTGCAAACAGTACAAACAAAAGAGAGTCTCAGCTACGATTATATCATTTGGTCCCCAAAGTATACACTGTTCTTCGGTTCCGCTCCAATGTTTCAAAAAAATTTCAATCAAATACTTAGTGTCACTACTGAAATTGAACAACAGAATAATGACACAGGAATCAAAATCTTATTAATCAGATCTCTCTTTGTTCATGATGGTCTAACTCTAACGACTTATCAGATCTTTGAATAATCTACTCGTATGAAAAATCCTAACCCTTCTTTCTTCTCTTTTGTAGTTGGACTGAGTGAGTTTTTAATTTGGATATATGGTTGATTTGGGGAAAATTGAATATCTAACCTTCAGAACACATCAATCCATGTAATACAATATTTTCTAAACATAAACACACTATTATATTATTAAATTTCAACACTGTCATTGAATAGGAATTTGTATCAACCAAATGGAAATTTCTAAAAACCAGTGACAGACTTGAAATATATATATATAGTGCATCATACTTCAGAGATTAACAGACTGTAAAAATACTAAAACAGCAAGGGTAAGCAATCTTACTTTGAAGAATACTGAAAACAAGTAAACTGGTCATCAACTGTACGTAGTTCGAGATTCGGTTGAGCGGCCAGGATCTAGAATACATGTTTTTTTGAAAAAGAAAACTTAGTCTTCACTACGAAAAAGCTTACTTAAGGAGGAGTTTAACATTTAGTCAATACCTTCTTCATTAATCGCAGGTAAACGGCCTCAGGAAGATAAGCTAGTGTTGTGCCACTGTCAATGATTGTTCCTCTTCTAAAATCACTAAATAGTCCAACAGAAATATCAAGAGCAGTGCCTCCTACTTCAACTCCCCTCAACATAACATTGTAGTGAGCCCTGAAAATTGTGTATGGAAAAAGGAAAGAATGTGAGAACATAAGAAACTTCCTTGGGATGAATAGAAGCAAGATGGCTAAGATCCTGTACACGAGAATATCTATTAAGTCTTCGAACTTTCAAAGTTTCAAATAGACACCAAGCCTCGTTAGATGGCCTTGAAAGGTCGAGGTAATTCAACTTTTAATAGTGGACGTTGTTAACTAAACAATGACATGATATACCTATTGAATAAATATGGACTAATTTGACACGAAATGTGGTAGGCATATGGAAAACGAGAAAATGAAATAGGTAGCTGGATAAAACAAAGTCAGGTGGACAACGTACTCACTTTTAAAGCAGCTTGTCAAATTTCTTTTATCAACTTTCTAGAATCTTAACTAGAAGGCGGACAACGTACTCACTTTTAAAGCAACTTGTCAAATTTCTTTTATCAACTTCTAGAATCTTAACTAGAATCTTCAAAGAACAGGACGTAAATATAGAAGGCACAAAATATGATTGATAATGAGGTAAACAGTTTGAAAATGTATGCAAATCACAAGAAGTAAGATTTGAAGCCAGATCACGTACTGATGCGGTACCACCGGTGTGGTATGCACTTTTGGTTCCACCACTTCTCCAATGGCAAAAATCCCACCCCCTTTTATACTATCCAAGCAGTGTGCAAAGATCTTTTTCACCTTCCCAGCTGCAGCCAGCTGAGAAATCATAGATGAATTTGCCTGTCCGAAACCAATTATCCCATCGAGTGCTTCAGACGACGTACCGAGCTCCCCAGATTGTTTAGCTCCACACCTAAAGCACACAAGTCAAATTGAGAAAAAAAAAAAAGTAAAAACAGAATTAGCTAATTGAACTTGTTTTGTTCTGATTTCATGCTCAGATCTACCAAAAGAATAAAGAAAAATGCAGAACGCAGTGATTGAACCATTGCATGAATACTGTGATAGAAGATCACCAGTAATAGTCAAAATATTACCTTTCAATACTATTAGCAATCCCCAATAGAATGGCAGGAGAAAGGTTCAACAGAACATTCAATACTATTAACAACGAACCTATGAAATGAACAGCATATATGCTATAGCACTTCAGAATAGCAAGTTGAAATATTCCTCATTCTTTAACAAATCCTTTCAAAATGCAAAAATCACAGGGATTAAAATAGACGTTTTTAGCCAATAATAATAATGTTGATTGAATGTAGCAGTACAGTAAGGGAGTATACTTTTTCAGTTTATCCATAATTCAGCCGGTATCAAAGAAATAACTCTTTTTTTTATTATATCTTAAATTCATATATGATAGAGAGACTATATCTATGATTCTATAACACCCTGTGAAAAGTTTTGGTCTATATTACCCTTTTATATATAAACATATAAGACACTTTTCCTTTACCAATTATCACATTGTATGGCCGTATGCTCCTAAGTCAAATTATGCACAGTTCAAGAAGTTGTAACGATAAACGTAGAGGCTCACAACAAGGAAAAGAAAAAATAATTACCCAAATATCACACTGCCATTAGTGACAGCAGTTTTATCGTTCCCAACCGCTTGTTCGAGATGAATATTATCCTTCACAAAAAATCCAGACGTCGCGCTTCCATCCCCATAGATAACTTTATATTGGCAGAGTAGATCTGGCTTGCAACCTGGGATTGGACCGTCGTAAGTGGCAGAGCAAAATGGGTGATCACAAGTAACCAAGGAAGAAGTGCTGGAGGCCTTTGGATCAAACGGTGTCAAGTCTACCTGTAATTGAACAATCAATGGTTTTTGTTTTTTTTTTTTTTCACCATGATCCATAAGAGATTGAGAAATCTAATCAAATCAACCAATTTACAAAAAAATTCCAATGTTGGAGAATCGTACACCAATATCACTTTTCTTCGGACAATTGCTGCAACCCTCGCAGTTCACCCATAAAATGTCACTCCCTGTATCCACTTGCACGTGATAATCTTTTGGAGGAGTTCCAAGGCCAATTCTGGCGAAGTATAACCTTTATGAAACGAAAAAAAGAAACCATATAACATCCCAAGTGTACAAAGGAGTTAACACGAAAGAAAAGGAGTAGTAGACTGTAGAAATAAACTATTTAAGATTGACCAAATCATCTCTTTTTTCATTTGACCATCAATGGAGATGCACCAAATATAGAACTGAGATAGAAAAGAAAAAATTTCAAAATAATAAGGGTAATGTAATTCATAATAATTTGGTCCAGAGGTTTGTGTTAGGATTCTATTTGGTTTTTGGATTTCAAAATTTAACAATTTAGCCCCTTATCATGGTTCTAAATGGTTCATGAGAACAAATTTCCATAAATGGATTTCACATATCTATGTAACATATATTTTACAAGTCTTCTAATAATTCATTTTATAATATTAAATAGAGTGGGGTGGCACTTATATCATCCTAACCCAAACCTCAACACCTAAAAGTGTAGCTTAATAAAAAAATAATAATCTAGAACTAATCAGAAATATAAGAGTATAATATGATTCTAAGGAGATTGGCACTCTAAGCAGAATGGAATTATTAAATAAAACGTATAAAAAGTAGTCTCAAGTTATGACCTAAGGATGAAACAAGATGTATAAATCATAGATTTAATGATCTTAGTATGCACGAAACCAGCTAACAATGGAACTCGGGAACCGTTTGAAATATGATATAACAGAGACTTCAGGATCACATCCAACAAACTAAAATTCGTCATAAAAACCAAATCATCAGAAGAGGAAATTATGAATTTACGATGAGAGAAAATGGCTAACCCTGTTTCAGCAGGGTGTCCGTTGCCACCGAGTTGGAGATCAATGACGGAGAGAAGCCTACTACCATGGCGACGAACATCATGAGCCTTCAATGCACTCAGAGACCTCTCTCGACCCTTGAACTTGTGCTGCACTTCGAACACCAAATTGCAGGAGCCAGGAAAACAGAACGACAATAACAACAGAGCCACTAAAAATTCTCGCCCGAGATCCATGATTACGGCCGATGATTTCGAGCGAAACCTAGGTAGTCCCCCAAATTCGAACAAGATTCAAATTCC